TTCAGTCTGGCGTCAATGCTGACTTCACGCGTTGACTTCAACGCTAGTGCGACGCTGCGATACTGGCTAGACGCTGGCTCTACGCTGGCACTTGAGCGACTACGACGACCCGCTGCTGGCTCGACATGGTGGCTGACTGGCAATTGTCTTCTGGGCATGCTGACGTGGCAGCTGCCATGCGCCGCCGCTGACGTGGCTGCTGCCACATGTACTCTTGCTGACGTGGCGCGGCTACGTGTCTGATATTGCTGTTCTGATTCATCGTCACTCGGAAGGAGATCAAGACTGTGGGGCGATTGTAGATACTTACCTGGTCTCTCGATGTCGACATTGCTCCAGCTCACTGATGATGACAGGTTGACGTGCCACGTGGCACATTGAGATAGAACTTCAGATTTGTGTTCGGACTATTGATTTTTGAGGTGGCAATTGAGGAGGGAGCCCGAAGCAGAAGTGGGCATTGTTTTCTTCTCCACTCTAAGTCTATTCTCCCTTCTCTCTCTTTCGTCTGTGTATGTTTCCCCATCTCATTCTATCTGGGCACAATTTTGATTATTGACAATCATCAGCAGGTTGATAACACAAGAGGCCTTACACAAAACAAAACGAACTCCACCTCCTGATTTCTGACCATGGACCTTTCTCTACTCAACATTCCACATGTATGTGGACTGAATCATCACCAAGCCAAAAAAACAAAAAACACAGGGCCAAAGTGTGGACCCTTCTACTGCGTGACTGGGTGCTACTACAAAGCTTCCTGGCCAGCAGAAGTATCCCCGGGGAGGCCATCGTATGGGAGGTGGGATCGGTCGTAGCAGCAACCCCCTTGACAGGCGACTAGGACCGCAAGGGTATGGCTGACCCTCTTTGCTACATCTGTTTCTCTGTCTCGAACTCATGCTTGTCGCTGATAAGCAACCGGACTGATGCCCCCCAGAATAGAAGCGGCCTTGTTTTCTTTTTTTTTTTCTTCTTTTTTTTGAAGTTAGGCACAACTCAGCCTTTGGCACGGCCAGGCAGTTCTTTGTGGGATGGGCGGTATCATGTGGCATGGGTGATACTATGTGGGCATGGAGGTATGATGTGCATTAGGTGGTAGCATCTGGATTGGGTGGTAGCAAGGGGGATTGGGTCATACTATGCAGTTTTTGGATGAGTGAGTGTGTAGATTGGGTTTTATGGCTGCGACAGACCTGTTTCTCACACTTACTGCCATCGTTTTCAGGGGGTTGGACAGACAGTCCGCTAGGATTGAAGGGTTGGTGTGAGTAAAGCCCACCACTTTTCTCAGGGGTATATCGGTAACTCTGGGTGACATGGTGAGTGCTTATCCCTCAGTTCAATCAACTTCAATGCATCCTGGGAAGACTGTCGGGGTTCAATCTCCTGATGCGTTGGTGAAAATCCAACGGAACAGTCTGGCACACTCATGCTTCTTTTGTGGAGAGGTGTATAGCTTACATGACGACACACAACACGGCCTCACTAAGCTCTCCGTTCGGGCGGATCTATGCGGCTACGGTCAGGACCTTACCCGCGGTCATGCCAGTCGATATCTCTGACTGAGTGGGTGTGTAGAGTGGGTTTTATGGCTGTGACGGACCAGTTTCTCAAACGTACTGTGCACTTTTGGGGTAAGCTCCACACAGATTTGAGCTGCGACCTCAGGCAGGTTGCTAGCAGTCACGGGCCTTGTTTCCATCCAAATGTGCCTGCTATGTACGTGTATAAGTTGTATTCAAACATCCAGCAAAAGTGACAAAGGAGGCTGGAATTTTCTTAGATAGCGGTCGCTTGTGGCTGGGAGTTGTCTTCAGTTAGCTCGCTGTTGTAGTTGTCGCCGTGAAGATCCTAGTGTCATTCCCCCCAGGTCTTTATGTCTCCTGCCGGTTGGAGACAGATCATTCAAGTTCAGTTCGGTGTAGGAGTATGACGAGAAGAAAACCGCACGAGGGAGTGAAGCTGTTGCCGCCTTGAGCTGCTCCAGTCGTCTCTTCAGAGGTGCCAATATGGGGAGAACTCTAGGGTGCTTACAGTGCTCAGGGCATGATCTCTGCCAAAAAGGCCGTGCAAGCTTCTGCACAGCAACGGAACAGAGAGGAAGTCAACGTCCTCGCGATTCTTGAGGTCTTGGCTCGCAGCCCGCCGGGCACTTCCAAGCTGTTGCTATCGTATGGCCGGGGCCGCTCTTTCCGGGCGCACGATGGAACACTTGCAATGGAGCACAAGTAGTAGTCGTCAATGCAGGCCCACTGCGCCTCCAGGGCGATGGCGGGTTGAGCGATGTGAGTCGAGGTATGATTGGTGTGTTGCATGTTAGTGCATCAAGTTGGGCCATGGCATGGAAGCCATGCTAAAAAAAAAAAATGCCCTCCTCTACAGAGAGGACATACCATAAGAGGGTGGTGTGGACGAGCGCACAGGGAATGTCAGAAAAAGCGCGATGACAAAGAGTTGCATGGGACCATACCCTCGTGATTTTCTACGGCAAAGGGAATCCTGACCACATGCGAAATCAGCCGAGTCATTGTATACTGGCAGTAAGAAGAGAGTTTTCTCGGGCTCGTGCTTGTGCCACCGATGTAGCTTGTCTACAGAGAGGTGACGGCAGGGGTGGATCCAAAGAAAAGGTTGTTCAGGTTATGGAAAATCCAACCTGCCACCGCATGGCCCAGGGAAGATAACCTGTCAGAACTGCCTCTTAGTTAAAATTGAAATATTTGCTGGCGTGACGAAATTGAGTTTTTTTTTTTTTTTTTTTTTTTTTGGGGGGGGGGGGGGGGGAGGAGAGGGTAACTTGAGTAGAGTCACAAAAACGAGTTATAATTGCAATATGGGGCGAGATACAGTTTGCAATTGCACTTCGGGCACCCTAGATCTGGCCAGAAAGCAGGGTTGTATACATCGCCCGAACTGCAATTTGAAACTGTAGCTTGGTCCATAGTGCAATTACAACTCTTTTGTCCGACTCCCGTGTAGTTTCCCCCCTTTTTTTTTCAGCGATTTGGCCAAGATTTTGGATATATCACGAATGCCGTACCTTTAGAGGTATTAGCATATGTTCATTGGAGGTTGACTAAACCACAACATGGTCAGTTCACTCACTCATTGGAGAATGATCAAATCACAACCCCCGTGGAAGGTCAAGTTCGTGATGCCAGCAAAAATATTTCAAAAAAACTATAACCCTAGTAAAACTGTAAAAGGCAGTTTCAGTATCCCTGCACCGCAGGTGGCTCATGTGCTGTCTGTTTTTAGCACCTTAGGCTGCTGCGTAAGTTCACTGTCAGTTTTTAGCCGACAAACCCCCCCCCCCCCCCCCCTCCCCCCGGCCCCAAGGAGCTAACTTAGGCAGGGGAGAGGGGTGTTACATCATTCCAAAAAACAGACGCAACCAGCGCAGTTTAGTAGAGTTTACCCAAAACAAAATTAAAGGAAAAAAAAAAAGAAAGAAAGAAGCACAGTTTATCGGTGGAGGTGGTAAAGGCAGGCGTCACACTGCACAGGAATATGCATTCACTCCATAGGACGTTGTGAAACCCCCCCCGGATGGTACCAGAAGCATTACCGCCCAAGGCACCCTCGCCACCCTATTCCATGAGCTTCGAGACAACGACAGCCTATGCGAAGAATCGCAGCCATGGTTAACAGTCTCTGAGCCCAACCACATCCAACAATGGGATTCTGGAAAAAGATAAAAAAACAGATCCAGGAAATAAAGAACACTAGCCTACTGCTAAACATAAAGAGGAACTCTATAGGTAGAACGGTAGTGGGATGCTGTGAGCGCCGCAAATGCTTCTGAAGCCGTCGTTGGGTGGACTGGGTAGACGTGGCGCATCGCCAAACACCGACTGAAGGCAGGATTACCTACAAAGACAGTCCCTTTGCACAAGCGTCATCGTTGGGAGTGTGCAAGCACGCCCTCGGCAGGGGGGGAAATAGTGCGAGAGGGATGAAGGAGATTGGTGGTACAAGGAAAAGGTTGCAGCAAATCAAGGACAAGGAAGGAGGCACCAAAGGAAGCAAGGAAGGGTACAGATAGGAAAAGAAGGAAAACAACAGGAAGCGACAACTCGAGCAGAGGATACAAGACGGCCGATGTGCAACAAGGAAAGTAAGGCACACAACACCCCAACTTATGAGACAAGCAGCCTAACTGGTGCAGGAGCTCTCATGGTTTTTTGATCTTGTGTCTAAATTGGAACTACCAAGCCTCTGATCTCAAGCTCATGCTCAAGAGCCAAGCCGTACATTTTTGGACAAGGTTGCTCTGAAGTGCCTGAATAATCGTGGTGTCTTAGTACACAATTTCGAGCTAGCATTGCCAGTTTTGCGGGTAGATTCCTGGAGAAAGAACAAACAAGAGAACTAGTACTCAAAGCCTTTGTGCCCATCTCTCTCTCTCTCTCTCTCTCACACACACACACACACACACACACACACACACACACACGCGCGCGTGCACGAGCGCACACACAGAGTGAGTGAGTGAGTGAGTGTGTGTGTGTGTGTGTGTGTGTGTGTGTGTGTGTGAGAGAGAGAGAGAGAGAGAGAGAGAGAGAGAGAGAGAGAGAGATCCTTAAAAGATGGGACATCTTTCGGACAATGCCAGACACACTTCTGTCGCCAGCATCCCAGGATTTAAACCTGTCCTTACTCCAACAGCGTCAACCTTTTGTAGCACTCGTCACCTCACAAAGAGTACTGAACAGGTTGGTTCCACAGTAGCAATGGATGTTTCATAATGATGAATAGCTTTTTCTGCTCTTCCTAGACAATTATTAGCATTGATTGCACTTTTGGGACTTCCAATTTCGATCCGCCTTTGCCTGGATGATTCAGAGAGTGCACAGTTAATCGGCTGTAAAAAAGCACAGTAATCTGTAAACCAACAAAATATTCTTCGTTATAAACTTATGCAAAGTAAATTAAGATATAATATTAACTACTTTTGTAAGTAAGTGTGAAAAGCATGTGCAGATGGATAGTCTTACCTACTTCCTCTCTGCCGAAACCATGTCAACGCACACTCCTGATGGACAATTGCAAGCTCATCCTTGCAGCTGCACCCGAGCTCCATCCTTGTACCTCCCGAATTCACATCCATAAAGCAGATGCGGCAGAAGTCCTGAGGAGATTCTTCCTCCTCGTCTTTCCTTGTTGATGGCCTTTCATCTACAGCTTCCTGGACATTGGGACCCTTCAAACTGCTGTTCAAGGATGAATCGGCGGCTATGGTTTTGTCCCCCTGTCGATCGCACGATGGAACAGTCGGCAACTCGTCCTGCCTCCAGACATTTTGGAAAACAAGCTGCTCACCTATCCTGTTGATGAGCACGCCTGAGTTTGGCAAAGATCGAACGGCCATGGACTCGCTCCTATCATCAAGCACAAGCCGGTGGTCAAGCTTGCCTTCTGGGACTCCAAGGCTGCTAGCACAAGTGCATACTTCCACTGACACTGCAGAGGGAACACGGAGATTTTCCTGACACTTGCGCTCACATGGAACGGCCATGGCAATGAGATGTAGATGGTCTGTTGACGCCAATTGCTCCTGAACACTATGGCATTCCGTTCGATGTTTGCACTGGCTCCCCCCACCAATGGTTCCGAGTGACATCTGTCTCCCCACTCCAAAGTCGTCTCGTAGTGGGCCCATGGCCCGCCCCTCCTTTGAGGGAGTCACATTCTGTTGCAGGCGCTGTTCAGCCCTTGCTGCACGTGGCAAACTACGGCTTCTCCTCAACGTGTCCTTGCTGCCACTGTCTTCCTGCTGGTTGCCGACCAGTGGCGCGTACGCATGTAATCGCTCCGACTTGCTAATGAAGGGACTGCACGATGCCATTGCGCTTGCACGCGGTCTCTGATGACTAACTGATCGGGACCTAGGTCTTCGGCTATGGGATCCACTTGTATCCAGCCGGAATTCCGGCGGGATAGCAGCGTCGGAATGCCTTCCCTCCAAACATTCACTAGGGCTCTTCAAATGACTGGCCATTTCAGCCGCAGGATCAGCAGCTGTGTTTTTCAGGACAGAAAGACTGCTACTTGCACTGAAAGACGACTCGCAATCCAAAGGGTGTCCTCCGGGCAAAAAAAGACCGTTGGAGTGTTCATTCACGTTGAGGTTACAAGTATCGACATCTGACTTCCAAGACAGGACACCAGAGAGAGATCCAGAGACGGGTCCAGAGACGGGTCCGGAGAGGGGTCCAGAAAGTGGTCCAGAGAGGGGCCCAGAGAAGGGTCCAGAAGCAGCACGCAACGGAGTTCCAGGCCGTTGATGAGTGGAAGCAGCATGGAATGAAGTCCCGGGCTGCAGTTGCCCAGCACGCGATGGGGTTCTAGCTCCGGACTGTTGCTGACCTGATACCTGGAGTTCCCCAGAGGGTGGCACAGACTGTGTTTGCAGTCGAGCAGAGGCTCGGATTTCGCTAGAGGGTGATATGGACAGATACCGTGATGTCCCCTCGTCTGATCGTCGTGCATCGGATGTTTCTACGCCATCACTCATGTAGTTCCATGGGCTGCTAGCTGACCAGCTAGCACAACTATGAAAGGAGCAAGGAGACGTCATCCCTCGCGGAGATGGTGTGCATATGAACCGTCCTACAGGGTCCTTCGAACGCGTCAAGGGGCTACCACGACTATTGCGGCGAGGACGAGGAGGAAGCCACTCCGCCGAGCACGGCGAGAGTGGAGCCCCATAGCCACCACCTCCAGCTCCTTCATGCAAACCTGCTGCTGACGCAGCCGATGTTTCCGATGCTGCCGGCACTGCATATGCTGACAGACCTTCTGGTCCTGCTGATCCTGGCGGTAAATCTGCAAGAGGAACACGTCTCTCATTCTTGTGGCTGTTGCTGGTCAACCTATGCTCGCCCATGCGACCAGGCTCACTGGCATGGCGCTTTTTCCGTTCGGTATCCAAGCTATCAATGACGATCTCGTTGCAGCATGGCGTATACACGCGGGACCGAGCTGCCTCTGGATTATCTGCCACACTCACAATTGCATCTTCAATCGTTGGGCTGCCCTGCCTTGGACGCGATTTCCACCAGCTCTGAATTCGGATCAACCCCTCCACCACCTTGTTGGTCGACGATAACAACTTATTCACCGCCACGGGGTCCCTCACTTGAGCATCCGCAACCCTGGCAACTAACCGTGTTCCTTCGGCATAAGGCTCCTCAGCTCCAGCACCCACTGTGGTAACCCGATCAGCCGTACCTATACCCTGCGTGTGAGAAGGGAGACCTGTGTTGCCATGATTGTCATTTGGCCTCACAGGCAGCACCCCCATGGGAGATCGTGGCGTTTCGCCAGTCCGTATACTCGCAACAAGGTTGCGATACGACCCTTTTTTCCTCTGTTGTGTTACTAGTTCGCGGCAATTTCCGTCTACTTGAGGCTTCGAAGCCCCCGAGCTTGAAGGTTGGCTGACACAAGGAGGAGATACCGTCTGCTGGGCTGAGTCCCGGACAACGTCAGTGCGATGTGAAGAATAAACGTCGCCTCCGTCTCGGGCACGATACACATGCTGCCGTCTTGCATGAACCATATCACTCCATAATGCAGACATTGAATACGAACGTTTGGTGGCATGCTCCTCGACAGGTCCACTAGTATTAGTTGAGCCACTACTATCAGTAGCAGTGGCATCAAGAGCAGCGCTGTGAGCAGTGCTCTCCACATGCACAACTGATCTGTGAAGGTTCCGAGGTATGAGCTGAGGCCTGGCCCATGTGTGAAATCCATCTTTGGGAACAACGGACCGGTAATACGAGGCTGAAAGCTCGTTGCCAAGCACCTTCTCGTCCACAGCCTGCTCGGCTCCTCTGGCAGCTCCGCTACGAGGAGTGGTAGGCACGGAGGGTAATCCCTGGTCCACACTGCCTACCCCTCTCGCATCTGTTGAGGTACACGCGAAATTACCTCCATCATCTGATACAACGTCTAGTCGTTTCACTGCTTCTGTGAGACTCCTTGGTCCCTCAATTCCACTGCCAGGTGTCGACCCCTCAGCCGCCATCCCTCCTCGTCGCTTTGCGCCCACGTTCAACGCTGCCGCAGGCGTGTTCTCTGAATGTTCACTGCATTGCTGAGTGCAGCTAACAGATGATGCAGTACCGCTCTGGCCTGTGTGCGGCAAGTGGATTGACGCAGATTCCACACGAACCACAGAGGTGCTGTCGACGACCGTGTCGAATCTGTCAGCAACAGCAGGTTCATTAACCAGATCCCTCGGCGATCCACACTTTTTCCCCGATCCATAGTTTTTCTTCGAGTGGTCAGAGTGGTCAGACTTGGCAGTACAAGACGGTGCAAAATTATCGCATTCATCCTTTTTCTCCATGCTCACCGAAGCCAATTTGCAAGAGACTAATGATTGGCGTATAGACAATATGCACAAAGTGCCACAAACCACTTAGCAAGGGGGAAATAAATTCAGCACTAGGTCTGAGTTTGAACCCTTGTTAAGAAAGAGAGAAGGTAAAGCAGACCCATGAGGGCGTCGGAGGGATTCATTTACTGCTATTACACTCAGCTGGACAAGCTACTTAACCATCACTACACTCAGCTGCACTAACTACTTAAACCACCAGCACATGGGCACCTGCGCCGCGGGTCTGACACCTCAAATTCTGGAGGCGTGAAACAAAAACGGGGCCGTCGATCGAACTTATCAACGGCGGGCCCAGCGTTTGACATTTCGGCCTCGCTTGTTTTCTTGTGACAACAAGTTCCGGACTGCAAGGCTGGGGCCGTGTACTCGTGGTTTAACCATCATTACACTCAGCTGCACTAACTACTTAACCATCTCTAGTATTCTCTACCCATGATGTAACATAAGAATAATAATCTAAATGTTCATTTTTTTCAGTTGTACTAACTAGTAACTAGTAACTACTAGTTACTTAACCATTTGTCCAAACAACTTAACCATCTCAATGTTTGTGCAACAGCACTGTAGATCTGATTTGTTAACTGGCTGTTCTTAACCTACACCCCTAAGGTGGGACCTTTTAACCTCAGCTGATTGCCGGAGGCATTTACATGACTTGCGCGTTTCAATCCGAGCTGTTAACCAGAAATCTTACCCTGACATATAACTGAAAATTAACAATGTAGCCGAGGTTACTCTCGAAGCGTGACCACATTGTCAAAAGGCATGACACACTCATGCCACAGACCACCTCCTCTTACCCGTTTTTTTTCCCTAAATTGGGTCCTTGTTCTCCTGTTACCCTGAGTTAGTAACCAGTGAGTTGTTTATTCACAGCACCTGTCAAGCTAAGCAGTTCGTCTGAGTTGATTGTTAACCCTTCTTAACCCTTGTTAACCCTTGTTAACCCTTGTTAACCGCTGTTAACCCCTGTTAACCCCTGTTAACCCTTGTTAACCCCTGTTAACCTCACCTGTTGGACCGAGCTATTACTCCGCCCGAGTTGCCAACCCGGGACTGACTGATTTCTCCGCCCGAGTTGCCTGTCGATCCGATCTGACCCACCCACTAACGATTGGCTTTTTTTGTACTTAGAAACGCCAATCTTAAGCTTCTAAGGAGTGTTGACTGCTGCTAAGGAGTTAAACCAACCCGGCACTACCTTTCTCACAGGCGAAGTCTAAATTGAAAGCATAATAACCTATACCGCAATCGTCGGAGGCTGGGGCACCCCATGGGACCAAAACGGCTGGTGGCGCCACACAAAAAGAACAAAAGAGAAAAGGTAACCCTGGCGCTTCTCCAAAGCTTGGCACGCAGTCCTACTCCGCCTCGGCGAAAAGAAGCTCGGAGGTAGTGGTGGTTTAAACCACTAGTACCTTTGTCTGTTCGGAAAATAGTGAGTGGGTCTCTGACCTTTCAGGAGGCCCAAAAAGAAACGAAACGACGGTCGCCGATTAGATTTATCAACGGCAGCCGTTGTCGGGCCCGGCCTCCTAAAAGTTCACGACTAGGCTAAAACTTGTCGAAACCGGACGGCAAAGGTACTAGTGGTTTGACGTGAGTTATGACCCCCCCATTTGTTAACCCAGTTGTCAACAGACATTGTGGATCCCCCGGTTGTGATGCCGAGTAGTTAACCAGGGTTAGATTCGTCTGCTACTGCTAGCGCGTTCTCTCTCTGCATCCAAACTTGTTAATCCAGTTGCTACCTGACACACAAGTTGTTATCAACCAGAGTTACTTCGCTGAACTGCTAGCAGCTTGTCTGCAGTCCGACTTGTTAACCCAGTTGTTAACCCCAGTTGTTAACCCAGTTGTTAACCCAGTTGTTAACCCAGTTGTTAACCCAGTTGTTAACCCAACCCAGTTGTTTACCCAGTTGTTAACGGAAATGATAGTTAGCTAGAGTCTGCTTTGGCTGCTGGCCGTGGCGAGCGTGCAGCCCAAGTGGTTAACCCACTCCTTAACTCACATGAATGCAATCGCAGGCTTACAAGACGACTACACGAAACCCGGAGTTCAATTTCTCTCTTGAATCAAGCAAGCTTTTAAGTCATGTACTCACAGGACACTGGACCCGTTTTCCAGCAGGTCATGCTCTGCTCCCCACCACCAATAGATGGAGCGGCCTACTCAGGGGGGGGTCCCATAAAAATCCCCCCCCCCCCCCCCCCTAGTAGACCGTGTCTGGCCTTGTTGGTTTCAGAAAGAAACAAAAAGTAGTCACCTACTAGAGTCTGCTATGCCTGCTAGTGGCTTGTCTGCAGCCCGACAAACTGGTCGTTAACCCAGTTGTGTTAACTAGCATTGTCGAGTCCATCAAATTGCGAAACCATCGAGTTGTGTTAAACAACAAGTGTTGCTCAGGCGCTGGGATGGGAGCAGCACGCTTGTTGGCGGCAGCTCATCTTGCCAACCCCATTCTTAACCGACATCTTTGATCCCTAGTTGCGATGCAAAGTTGATGAAGCAGAGAGTTTGTTCTCGGCTGCTAACGAATTCCGCACACTTGGCTCTCACTTGGCTCTCATCTCTTCACTGTGCCGACATCCGCCAAACCTTTCTGATGTTCAATCAATCTATCTGATATTGCCACACCTCCGATCGCAGCACCACCGCGACCGTAAGCGCAAACACCTTGACCGTCGTAGATCCAATAATTGGATACAATGATGACACATGCATGTGTAGACCACGTGAAGCAACGATCCAGCCTTCGACATGACCTTTCACATTTTCATCTTCACGGCTACGCTTGCCCATCCTGCAGCTTCCAACTTCCTGCCTGAGAGTCTCAGTCCCAATCCCAGCTCCCTGAGTCCCAGTCCCAGTCCCGGTCCCAGTATCTTATCCCTGTGCGGAGTGCGACACAAGAGGTGGATGGCATCCAGAGATTCCACACAGCTTGTGTCAAGGAAACTGCAACAACCATTAAAGTCGCCGCGACACGTCAGCAAACCAAATTCAAAGAACGATGTAATTCAATATTGAAATTGCAATTAAAAAACAAAAAACTTTATAAAATAATATAAATCAGAAATTATAAAAAATTCATCATCCGAAGATAAGAAAAACAGAAGTAGTGGCCAAGAGACTCAAAACCTTGTGCAAGCAGGGAACAACAGGTCCTTTTTTTTTGGACCCAAAAAAAAAAAAAAAAACAGGGCCCTCAGACTCCATGGCAATAGAATTCCATGGCAGCTGTTGCACAATTTGTCAATTTCAACTTTCGGAGCATTTTTTTTTTTTTTTTTTTTGGGGGGGGGGAGAGGCTGTGGTACCAACAAGCCGCCCGGGGGCGAAGTCCCACTAGCAGGTGCTTTGTTTAGTTTTGGATTTGTGCGACAGCCAGGCCACCCCCCCCGAAAAAAAAGCCAGGTCTTATCTGCAGCTGTGGGTCTGCTTCCTGCGTCGTGCACGATTTTGGCGCCAATGTTGGGCGTTGCTTCACGCCAGTGCCAGCAGGAGGGCTCTCCACGCGGGCATCTCCTTATCGTCCTCCTCGTCTTCCCCCTCCTGCGAGACACGTTGCTTCACGCCAGTGCCAGCAGGAGGTCTCCCCACGCCGCCATTTCCTTATCGTCCTCCTCGTCTTCCCCCTCCTGCGAGGCACAGGGCCTCAATAAGCCCCAGTGCATGCTGCGCAAGTGCTGCTGCGCTAACGCTGGCCAGCGCTCACGTGCTCACGGGCGAACTGGAAGGAGCAGGCAGCCATAGCCGAGCTGCGCTGCTGTATGCTGAATGAGGCGCATGGTGGTCCTTGGGTGCATGTGGCATCTGTGAGTTGGGGAACGAGGTTGTGAGTGATACAAGAGACATACCTGGTGCTTGAAGCGAGCGGCATTGGCCGAGATCTGCTCGTACTCCGTGTAGCTGTTGATGTCACCAGCGACATTGTAGATAGGTTAGATAGGATCTGCCATTTGTAGTCTGGGCGCCGAGCGCCAGATAGGATGTCGACATTGGTTCTTTGTTGATGATGATGAGACTACTAGAACATTGTCACTTATGAGCTTTTGCTGTACTATTATTTGGTGGGACTCATGATGCAATTCTGCTTTTGGTTCGAGGTCACGACTATCTGGTCTCATGTGTATGATGCTGCTTGGTTTCTTTTTTTTTTTTTCTTTTTTTTTTTTTTTAAGTAAACAGGTCCTTATGGCCCTGGCTCCGTGTCCATGCTGGGGAGCGTCAGTCCGGTTCCTATTGCTACCGTCGCAATTTCTTGTGTGATTTGTCTTTGCTTACTTTTTTGACCTTTGGTATCATTCGACGGTTTCCTGAGTTTCTTTTCCTTGCCCTTGGATGGTTTCCAGTTCTTCAGGGCCATGCCTCTTATTGAGTCTCTTGCTGTTTGTGTTTCCTGTCCCGAGTTCAAGTCTGAGAAGCCTGCTACCCTTTCCCTCTTTTTCTCGTGATATCTGAAAGCGCTGAATTCTGACAGTTCGCTTTTTTGCTGCAGCAGCAGATCAAAAGAGTTGTTGGACTGTGGGATGCCTGCCACCGCGGGTTTGCCTGTGACGGATTTGCCTGTTTTTTCTATGTGTTTCCTACAGGCCACTCGGATGTCGAATTCTTTCTCCCTTTCATACTTTGATTTCTCCAGATATTCTCTCAGCCATGGGATGGGAGATGTGTCTTGTTCTTTGGCTTCGCCGTTTGGGTCGTTCTTCTTGGGAGAGATGTTCATTCCCGCCTGGTTTTTGGGATCTGAGCTCTTGACTGTTCCGTCCGTGGGGGGAATGCCTGTTGATTGGTCTGAATGGAGATCTTCATCCACCGAAAGTTTTGTTTCACGTTTCTTCTTCTTACCTACCCTGTTGTCTCTGTGTTCTTTTTGAGGGGAGGCTTGTCTCTTGAGGCGGTTTCAGATTTKGGGKACCGTTCCTCTATGATCTGTCTTGTTTTCTGGAGGTGCTTGCTGTCGTCTTCTGGATTCTGGAATAATTCAGCAGTTTGATGCCGAATTGATTCCAAATCCCACAACAGGTCTTGATGTTTTTTCTCTTCCTGGATCGCTCTGGGGTCGACCAATGGGTCGAAGTGAAATTTCCCTGGCAGGCCGGTGAATTTTTTGGCTCCTACCGCATACCATTTGTTGTCTGATGGGGGGAAGATGTCTGGCTGTTTGGTTGCTGGTCTCGTGTGACTTTATGTCCAGATCCACATGGGATCCTGGATAGTATTGGCAAAGACTCAGCCATCATATTCTGGATCGTTGACGAACCAAATGCCTTTGGCTTCTTCGACCTCGACCAACATACAGGAACATGATGATGGTAGTCTTCAAGGATGCCAACCAGGCGTCCCATCTGATCGACGGACACGATACGTTGAACTGCAATGGATCAGTCTGCTCCCTCTCTCGCTGGAAGCCCCAGACAGTGCTGGAAGCAGAAATCTCGCCGGCCGCTTCGAATGAACAGAGGCTGCTGCGCGAGCAATTTTAGGTTCAATTTGACAAGATACTGATCAGAGGCCACCCCCTCATCAAGGATCGGCTCGAGGTGGAATACCCAGCAAACAAGATTCTGAAATGGATCCTCCCCACTCCAGACTTCTTGTCACCCGACTGCGACTCCATGACAACGATTCTGGAAGTATAACAAATCCAACACCGTGGTGGTTTCCACGAAATCAAACCCAATCTGTTTCCGATGCAGAGAGAGAGGCCATCTAGGAACAAACCCCAGATGCCCCCGCTCACCCGACCACACGAGAGAAAAAAAACTCAGTCAGAGCGAGAATTTGTTTGTTGTGGTTTTGATGGACTCGTGAGATTGAATTGTTCTTGACAACCATTTCCTCTTCTCCACTGCCGGGAGGCGTGCTCCAGTGTTGGAGAAGGAGAAAACTAGTGCGTGTTTCTCGTACATTGCATTGGTGTCAGCCAGTTTTTCTTTGGGGTAACCCCATGCAGATACTTCTTCCTCAATTCCGTTATTCATGACTTTTATGATGATTTTCTCGCCCTTGATCTGTGGGGATTCCAGCAAGAATCTGAGGGTTTTCGTGGTCGATTGTGGAGCTGTCTGGTTTTGGGGAGTTGTCGTTTGTTGAACTTGGGGTGGTTTGAACCACGGTGGAGAAGCGGCGCTGGAACGTTGTCATCATTGTTGGTGCCGAGGCCATGGTTCCTAGCTGGGGTCTCTTCGAATACGGGGTTTGAGGTATGGGGGGGGGGGGGGGG